AAGCAGTGGTATCAACGCAGAGTACTCTCGGAGTCCATGTATGCGAAGTTCGGTACCCAATAATCTTTCCATACATTTTGGGCGGTCAAAAAATTTTTGAACAAAAACTGCAAAAAAAAACATTTGATAAAAGCAGTCGGCACGTTTTGAACAAAATGACTTACAAACACAGGCCTCGCATCATTTAAAAACGTAAATAAAATGAGATGCACCTTTCTTATTCAGTTGGTGAAATTGGATTAAAGTTGCCAATAATACATATTAATGTTCAATCATGACTTATAATAAGCCGCTTATGTGTCGGTCTGTAAGTCTGTCTGTTGCGAAAATGCAGTGAGGAATGATTTACAATACTTTGCAGCATGTGAGGTTCTGATAGCGAGTATGGTTCATTTTTGATTAGGACTCTCTCACCGCAGTCAGCCCGGCAATAATTTGAAAGAATTGAAAGCCTTCACATCGTAAGTTTATCATCGTTTCCTGATGGCCAGTGCAAGCCGCTACGAAGCAAAGTTGAAGTACTGGTCTCAATAAAAACAATAGAAACGCGCAGCAAATTGCCGCGAAAGGTAGCCTATGCTATCCTTCAGGGTTCAGAAAATATGCGCCTTTAAACTGAACTAACTCCACTATTCAGGGCAGGAAAAAACTGGTAGGCAAAGATCGAAAAAATCAATAAATCAATAGAGGCAATCCATGTGCCTAAAAAGGCTTATTAACACACGTTCCACCCCATTCGTTGCGCCTGCGAAATTTGGTTCAAAATCCATGACTCCTTCTATCCTTTAGGTGAACATACAAAAAGTGGCTAAGCAAAAACTGCAAATATCAATAAATCGATACAGTTGAATGGTGAGAACCAAAACAAAATCGCTTATTACCGCACTTTTGGGGGGGGGGAGCACACAAAATTTTCCGAGCACAAACTGAAAAAGTCAATAAATAGATACAGTGAAACGGTGGGTCCTGAACAAAATGGCTTATTAACACACGCCTCACCCGTACATTATGTTTGCCTATATATAATATTGATACATCGTAAAGAAATCTGAATGCATTATAACCATCAAAATCATTTTTTTTCCTTTTTAAAGTATGTGAAAGCATTCCGAAATTGTACTGATCATTCAACCCGACAGTGCTATGCATGTTTTCTGACAGGGACAAAATCATTATCGAAATAATTGAAACTTTCCATAAACCCAACTTTCGCTTGTGGTTCATCACAAATTTCACGACCTCAACATTCATTTGCACTTATCATAAACATGCCTAGCACTGTTCGGTTAGATAAATAAAACAACATTAGAATGTTTTCATTAACTTCGAAGGAAGAAACATGATTTTAAAAGCAGCGTCCGGGCAAGATTTCGGATAGAATTTTTCTCGCTTACCTGGGCACGGGCTTTTCCAGAAGTTCTTAATTTGAATTTTACTCCTGCCGCCAAGGTTAAGACGCAGAGTCTTTGTGGGACCATACTTCTTG